CACGACAGCATTATTCATAATAGCCGAAAAGGAAACAACTCACATATACCAACTGACGAACGGTAAACAACATGTAGTATATAACCTTAGGATGTTTTTTGGCCATGCCAAAGAATGAGGTACTGATCCATGCTATAACAGCGATGAATTTTCAAAACATTATGCCCAGTGAAGAAGCCAGCCCCAAAAGACCACATGTTGACACGCTCCACTTACATGAAATGTCTGCAAGAGGCAGATATATCGAGACAGAAAACAGATTAATGGTTGCCCAGGGATGGGAAGTTTGCAGAGAAATGGAGAGTAACTGTTAGTATCTATGGGATTTCTTTTTAGGGTTATCAAAATATTTTAAAATTGATTGTGGTGATGTTGCACTGTCTTGCAAACGTATTAAAAACCACTGTACCGTAGAGGTGCCTGGGTGGCTCAGTCAGTTAAGTATCTGACTCTTGATCTCAGGTCAGGAAATGATCTCACAGTTCATGACTTCAAACCCCACATTGGGCTCTGTGCTGACGGTGCAGAGCCTGCTTGGGATTCCGTATCTCCTTCTCTCAGACCCTCCCCTGTTTGTGCGCTCTCTTTTTCATTCTCTCTCTCAAAATAAACTAACTTTTAAAAAATTAAAAATTTAAAAAACTTCAACTTAAACAAATGTTTAAATAGGTGAACTATATGGTGTTTATCTCGATAAAACTGTTTTTTAAAACCCTATATAGTCTTTGTTTATATTTTCTTTCTTTTCTCTTTTCTTTTCTTTTCTTTTCTTTTTTTTTCTTTTCTTTTCTTTTCAAGAGAGAAGAGGGTACAAGCGAGCAAGCAACGGGCACAAAGGGAGAAAATCCCACAAGGAGCAGAGAGAGAAGCAGGGCTCAGGCCCATGAACCATGAAATCATGACCTGAGCAGAAGTCAGATGCTTAACAACGCCCCTCTTTGTTTATATTTTCAAGCAGATGTTGTCCAAATATCCAGTTGACAGCCAGTCACTCTGTTTCTCCTTACCATCAGCATTCTCAGCCAGCTTATCTTTTTTCTTTTTTACATTACAGCCAGTACTGGGGAATTGAATCACAAAGCTCTGGCTGGATTATAGAGGCTTGATTTCTTAGAAAATCTGTAAACCTAACTCCGAATCCCTGTTTAGGTATTAACATCTTAAACCTATGGGTCTCAGCTTTCTCATTTGTGAATAAAAAAGATTGTGCAGATGATCTCTGAAAGTTCTTCCTGTGACACTTAAAGAGCTTGGACTCCATCAGTGGAAGTGCTGGTTTTCTCTTTTTCCTCAGCACCAAATAGTCAAAATCTGGTACAATTTCAGTTAACTTAGATGATTAGCAGGAGCAATTGTGAAAAACTTCTGGCAGATTTTTGTATATACAGAAAGGTAAAGATGCATAACAATGGGAGTTTAACCTTTGTGGAAGTCAATTACCCAGTACTCACACTAGAACAGTAAATCAAGTCTCCAGTAGCTGTGTTCACTTCTTATTTTTACTTAGTCTATAAATGATCAATCAAGGGGTGCCTCGGTGGCTCAGTCCATTAAGCGTTTGGCTCTTGGTTTCAGCTCAGGTCATGATCTCACAGCTCCTGAGTTCAAGCCCCACATCAGGCTCTGCGCTGATAGTGGGGAGCCTGCTTGGGATTCTCTCTCTCCCTTTCACTCTGCCCCTCCCTGGCTTGTGCTCTCTGTCTCAAAATAAATCAATAAACTTCAAAAAAAAATTTAATAAAAAATAAATAGATGACCAATCAAGAAAATTTTAAAAAATGTTTCCTAGTAGGGGAAGGAGGAGCCCGACCTTCAAAGAAAATCACTCTTAATATTTCAGTGTATTTTCTTCCAATAATATTTCACTATAGTCTTTTTATTAACTCTATAATCATTTCTCTATATCTCCACATTAAGTTGTTTTTATAAACATCATTTAATGCCAATCGAGGTATCATGGTACATTTAACCATTACCCCATCACTGGACGGATAGAGTTTACCCCTATCTGAAGTAAATGGGAAAAAGATTAATATATTTATACACCAAGCTTTTTGGTATTTAGGATCATTTCCTTAGGTCAATTCTGATTCCTAAGACTTAAAATGAATGAATCAAAGAATGTGACCATTTAATAGCTTTTTTCAAGAAGTTGTACCAATTTACATTTATACTGAGGAGTGATATAATTACTTTGATTCATAAATGGAAATCCACAAAACAAGGTTACCTAGTGGCCCAGTCCAAGTCACAAATCTAAACTGAAGTCAGACCAGAAGCACCTGTCAAGGAAACCCAATATACACATCAATCATAGTCATCCAACTCAGCCTTAGCTACCTTACCTTACTCTAGAAAATAGGACCTACTAGTCTTTCTTTTTTTATTTTCCTTTAAGTTTATTTATTTACTTATTTATTTTGAGAGAAAGACAGAGACAGAGAAAGCATGAGTGGGGGAGTGGCAGAGAGAGAGAGCTAGAGAGAGAATCCCAGGCAGGCTCTGCACTATCAGTGTAGAACCTGGTGCGGGGCTCAAACTCAGGAACCGTGAGATCATGACCTGAGCTGAAGTGGAAGCTTAACCACCTGAGCTACCCAGGCAACCCTAAGTTGTATTTCTCAGTTCTCATATGCACAGAAACTGCTAGCTGCCAATCTAATTTCAGGTTCTCTTGCTCTTTTTTTAAACAAATGTTTATTTATTTTTCAGAGAGACAAAGGGTGGGTGAGGGAGGGGCAGAGAGAGAGGGAGACACAGAATCTGAAGCAGGCTCCAGGCTCTGAGCTGTCAGTACAGAGCCCGAAGCAAGGCTTGAACCCATGATCCAGGAGATCATGACCTGAGCCAAAGTCTGACACTTAATAGACTGAGCCACCAAGGCACCCCTTCTTGCTTTTTGCAAGGCAATGTGCTCAGCCAAAAGACTACATTTCTTTTGTTGCTCTTGTTTTCAATGTTTATTTATTTTGAGACAGAGAGAGAGCGTGTGGCAGAGTACAAGTGGGGGAGGAGCAGAAAGAAGGAGGTGCGGGGCTCAAACTTACTAACCATGAGATTGTGTCCTGAGCCGAGATCAAGAGTCTCAGACACTTAACAAACTGGGCTCCCCAGGCGTCCCTAGAAGACCACATGTCTAATCCCTGCAGACAGGTGTGGCCAGATGACTAATATACATGGAAACTGTTGGAAGGACTTTTAGGAAAGTTGTTTTCCTTCTGCTTCCTGCCTATGATGTGAACATGATGGTTGCAACACCTCTATCTTGTACAACGAGGTAACCTGAAGGATGGAAACTCTGTTCAGTGGATGGCAGAGCAGGATAGAAGGAATCACAATCTGTGGTGATGGGGAGATGTAAAAGGAGATTTCAAAATGGAGCAAACAAACCTAGCTACAGTTTCATTTAAATAGGGTCAGGAGGCCATGAGGGAGGAGGAATTTATGCAAATCCTCATCAAAGGAATGATGAAGTTTTGCCAACAGCAGGCCCTCAGGCTGGGTTTAACTCCTTCCTTGCCAGGATACCTGAATCGGTCACATTTCTCACTTCCAAAGGAGCTAACTCCATTCATTCAAGGACAAGTTTCTTTCTTTCTTTTTTTTTTTGACATGAACTTTTTCTTTTATTTTTATTTGTTTATTTTTAATGTATTTATTGTTTAATTTATACCCAAGTTAGTTAGCATATGGCGCAACAATGATTTAGGGAGTGGATTCCTTAAGCCCCTTACCCATATAAGCCATCCCCCTCTCCCACATTTAGTGGGCTTATGGTATAACTACTATACTAAATATAGTATAAAAGATTATATTTAAGAGCCTTTTATGTTTTGTCCCCCTCCCTGCTTTTATATTACTTTTGCTTCCCTACCCTTATGTCTATCTGTTCTGTATATTAAATTCCTCATGTGAGCGAAATCATATGATATTTGTCTTTCTCTGACTGATTAATTTTGCTTAGCATAATACCCTCCAGTCTCAAGGACAAGTTTCAATCCCTCTTTTGCATATTAACCCCACCATACCAGTTAATTTAGTTTCAACTGCTGTTTTGCACAGAGTTCTTAAATGAGAACTGCATTCATGACCTTTTTTCTTCATAACTGCCCTTTGTCTTCCTCAGAACACAAGTCACCTGACTCTGTGTCTCCTGAATTGCAATTTTAATTGCCCAAATAAGTGCCTGTGTGCTTATATTGTCAGTGAATTCTTTCTTGGTCAACATAGACCACACCTAAAAACATTTAAAGTTTTTTTTAAAAGGCGGGGAGGGGCACCTGGGTGGCTCAGTCAGTTAAGCATCCAACTTCGGTTCAGGTCATGATCACACGGTTCATAGGTTCGAGCTCTGTGTCGGGCTCTGTGCTGACAGCTCAGAGCCTGGAGCCTGTTTCAGATGCTGTGTCTCCCTGTCTCTCTGACCCTCCACTGCTCATGCTGTCTCTCTCTCAGAAATAAATTAAAAAAAATTAAAAATTAAAAAAAAAAAACACCATATACCACACCAACCCTGGACGGCCTTCTTAGGTGCTATTTTACATAGGAAGAAAAAGAAAGCACTATCTTGTTTTAATCCAGTTATTTCAGGTTTCTTATTAGCTAAACACGATTGCAAACTGATAAGCTACATATACTGATTGTCATCCTTCCTAAAGCTTGGAAGATTTCTTTTTTTTTTCTTTTTTTTGAAAGCCTTATTTATGTTTGAGAGAGAGAAGAGAGCAGGGGAGGGGCAGAGGGAAGGAAACAGAGGATCCAAAGCAGGCTCTACTCAGCAAGCCTCATGGGGGGGGGCTTGAACTCACGAATGAACCATGAGTTCATGACCTGAGCCAAAGTCAGACCCTCAACCGGCTGAGCCACCCAGGCGCCCCTGAAGATTTCAGTAATACTATAAATGCTCTTTAAAAATAATGAGAAATCGGCCACACCTCCAGCCCGCACCAGTGTCTTCCGGTGTCACCTGCTTTGGAGCTCTGTCCTCGCCTTGGTTCGAAATGGACCCCAACTGCTTCTGTCCCACCGGGGACTCCTGCACCCACCTGGGCTCCTGTACATGTAAAGTGTGCAAATGCACCCCCTGCAAGGAGAGCTGCTGTTCCCACTGCCCCATGGGCTGTGCCAAGTATGCCCAGGGCTGCATCTGCCGGGAGACAGCTGATAAGTGCCGCTGCTGTGCCTGATGTGGGGGAGAGCCTGTTCCAGATGGAGAGAGGGCAACAGGCACACACCTCCACTTTTATTTCTATTTTATTTCTTTTTATGTAGCAAAGTATTTTTTTAAGTTTATTTTTGAGAGAGAGACAGAGAGTGAGCAGGGGAGGGGCAGAGAGAGAAGGAAAGAGAGAACCCCTTTCTCTGGGATTCCACACAGTTAGCGCGGAGCCAGATGCGGGGCTCAAACCCACAAACTGTGAGGTCATGACCTGCACCAAAATAAAGAGTCAGACCCTTAACCAACTGAGCCACCCAGGCGCCCTACACCTGCAGTTTTGTAACACATTTTTCATATTAGCCTGTCTGCCACATTCTTGTTTCTATGAAATACAGGAATTAAAAGTTGGCGACTTAAAAAAAAAAAAGTGAGACATCTTTTGCTTCATGTACTTATCTTTTAAAGAATAAAATATGGGCTTTTTATTCTGAGCAAATTGCCATGTTTTAATTTTAATCATGAAAAAGAACATTTGGTCCATGGACAGGAAGCAGGAAATAAGAATTTCATACGGCATCATTGGACCGGACCTTCCACGAGAAAGAGCATGAAATACCTTTGGATCATGTTATGATGCAGGAAGAAAGAGGAAATCTTGAGAGTTCCTTGAGCCTGCACGGAAAAGGAGATTAAAATTTAACTTCTGGTCATGAGTGACTGCAAGAGGTTAAGTGTCCATTACTGTATCAAAGAAAACAAGGAAAGGTTTTTGAAATTTGCTTTTAAGTTTGTACCTGTGTCTGTCCTCGAGGAAGTACATGCCAAGAAGTAATTAACTGTGAAACTGAAACCAGCCACTCCCACATATACATTAACCTGATTTACTGTTCCATTGTTTTCATTTGCATAGCTTTTCTATTCCACGAGACTTTAAAAAAAAATTTTTTTAATGTTTATTTACTTTTGAGAGAGAAAGAATGAGCACAAGCAGGAGAGGGGCAGAAAGAGGAGAGAGAGAATCCAAAGCAGGCTGCAGGCTCTGAGCTGTCAGCACAGAGCCCTATGCAGGACTCAAATCCATGAACCGTGAGATCATGACCTGAGCCGAAGTCGGAGCTTAACTGACTGAGCCACCCAGGTGCCCCTCCGGCAGATAACTTTATTGTCCATTCCAGGAATTTGTTTGAAAGACCATCAACTCTTGGGGCACCTGCGTGGCTCAGTCAGGGTTAAGCGTCTGACTTCAGCTCAGGTCATGATCTCACTGTTCCTGAGTTGGAGACCCACTTCGAGCCCCACGTCAGGCAAATTGAGCTCTGTGTTGACAGCTCCAAGCCTGGAGACTGCTTCAGACTCTCCCTCTCTCTCTCTGCCCCTTCTCTGCTCACGCTCTGTCTCTCTCTCTCTCTCTCAAAAATAAATAAACATAAGAAAGAAAGAAAGAAAGAAAGAAAGAAAGAAAGAAAGAAAGAAAGAAAGGCCAACTCTTTATTAGAAAGTATCAACATTTTTCTTACCAACACTCTTGGGACTCTGGGCCTCCTAATCCTTCCCTTGCTGTTTCCACCAGTCCTAAATCACCATCATATATCATTCCTCATCAAAGGACGTGTCTTAAACCAAACTTCAAAATCTCGATAAAGCAGACCCCGCCCTTCCTTCTTTGAGACACCACAAATCTCTCTTGAGGTGGTAATTCTCCTGTGCAACAGCGAGCCATAAATTCAGTTTTATCTTGGTGCTGGTGGTGGTATTTGGGAACTGGCATTTAATACACGCAAAAGATAGGGCAAAGTCGGTGAAGGAGACACAAAGGACCTGGAGGAGGCTGAGGGAGCTGTCCTGCTCAGAAGTTCAGAGTCAGGATAAAGGGAAAGCTGGAAGGGAAGAAAGGAAGAAGGAAGGTCAGGCGGCAGTGCAGTTCTCAGAGAATTTGTAAGACCAGTGAGGAGTTACTGAGTCAAATGCAATTATTCCTCAAAGTAGTCCTACATTTTGCAGGAACCCAACTGCCTTGGTGCCCCTGGTGAGCTCAGTGCACATCAGCTGTGTGCTGGACATTTTGTGGGAAGTAAGGCCTCAGCATCATCTGGGCGACGAGTGTCAGAACAATCATACCTTTGCAGTCCCAGCAGGAGATGGAAAGACACATTTCTCCTGGCTCAGGATGCCTGATGAGCTAGCTTCTGAAAAGACACTTACAAAAAAAGGGTTACCTTCTGAGAAAAAGCGTATAATGAATGAGAAATTTCCAAAGGAGTCTAACATAGATTTTGAAATGAATTTATTAACTATAAAAATCTAGTGAAAGCAATTGGAGTTTTTCTGCATTTTTAAATATACCAAAGACAATATCAGTTATTCAGTTACTTAAAAAATTTTTTAACATTTATTTTTAATTTTTTTTTAATGTTTTATATATTTCTGAGAGAGAGAGAGAGAGAGAGACAGCATGATCAGGGGAGGGTCAGAGAGAAAGACACAGAATCTGAAGCAGGCCAGGCTCTGAGCTATCAGCACAGAGCCTGTCGCTAGACTCGAACCCACAAATCGTGAGATCATGATCTGAGCCGAAGTCGGACGCCTAACCGACTGAGCCACCCAGGTGGCCCACGTTTATTTATTTTTGAGAGAGAGAGACAGAGCATGAGCTGAGAAGGGGCAAAGAGAGACACAGTATCCGAAGCAGGCTCCAGGCTCTGAGCGGTCAGCACAGAGCCCAACACAGGGCTTGAACCCATGAACCGTGAGATCATGACCTGAGCCAAAGTCCACACTCAACTGACTGAGCCACCCAGGCACCCCTTAGTTATTTACTTATTAAAAATAATTTACTTATTAAAAATAAGTTCCAAGTTGGGCATAGAAATTACTTTAAAAAAAAAAATGGAGAGAAAGAGAGATTTCTCTTGCCCACCAGCCTGTATGTGTGCTCTTTTTATGTAGCCTTGCTTCAGACCGCTGATGTTAATAGAGAAACTAGCAGAACCTTTGGGCAAACAGTAGTGTTAAGCAGGAAGTCTCAACAGTAGAAAAACTACAATTTCTCCTATGTGTATTGGACTCCTTCTCCTCTACTTCTATTTTGAGGTTGCTCCAATCTTATGAGAAAAACAAAGGCTCACCTGGGGCTTTATCCCATTGTTTTTCATCGGTCTCCAGCCTTCCAGTCCCAGTAATCAGTGCAGTCTTGTTTCTTCCACCATCACCATGCTTACCTGCAACTATTCATAGTGAGCTAAAGGGCAACCTTCTAAGTGTCAAATTCAGAGGATTCAGTCCCCTCCTCGATCTCTTGGGAGCATTTATCACTGCTACATCCTTCTAGAAACTTACTGTCCCCTATATATATATATACACACACATATATATACACACACACACACACATATATATATTTTATTATTTTAGAGAGGGAGCACACATGAGCAGAGGAGGAACAGGAAGACAGAGGGGCAGAGGGATAGAGAAAGCTAATCTTAAACAGACTCCACTCTCAGCCCACCACGGCTCCATCACACAACCCTGGGACTGTGACCCAAGCAGAAATCAAGAGTCAGACACTCAACCAACTGAGCCATCCATGTGCCCCATCTGTCCCCTTGCTGCTAAGACACCATTGTCTTCTTGTTCTCTTCTGACCAGGCCTCAAGTCTCTTTCCCTTCAACCAATCCTTAAAGGTACTGTTTCCTTCACAGGGACCTCATCCTCACCCCTTTTCTCATCTCACTCAAAAGACTTTTTGTGGGTGATGTCACCATCCATGGCTTCAACTCCTGAGCTCTTAAGAGTGTTTGGCCCGGACCCTACTGTGACCTCCAGGCCCACCATTTCACTTGTCTACAAAGTGACTCCGCCTGGGAATTCCATGGACACATCACTGACCTTAACTCAGTGTTTGGTGTTCCATCTGTTTTCTTTATTTGGTGCTGCTATTCCCCAGTCACCCAAGTCATTCCTAGACTCTGTCCTCTCCTCCCTCCCTCAACCCTTAGATTTAATCTGTCACTTAACCGTATGGTTTCTGTCTCCTTCACAGTTCTTAAACCCTTCTCTTTTCCACCACTGCCCCTAATGTATTCATTGATAGAGGAAGAGCATTGTGCATCAGAATCACGTGTGCTTGTGTGTGTGTGTGCATGCACGCACACGGCATGCCCTTCCTCCAGAGATCTGAACCAGCATATGCTCTTCCTTACCTGAATTGTTCTTATTCTTCCCTGATCTTCAGTCCATCTTCCACACTGCTGACAGAAAGATCTTTCTCTCTTTTTAACCTTTTTTTAAAAATGTTTTTGAGTGAGAGAGCGAGCACAGTCCGCTGTGGCAGAGAAAAGAGGACAGAGGATCTGCAGCAGGCTCTGCACTGAGAGAAGAGAGCCCAACGTGGGGCCGGAACTCATGAATTTCGAGATCGTGACCTGAGTCGAAGTCGGATGTTCAACTGACTGAGCCACCCAGAAAGATCTTTCAAAAATGCAACCTTGATAGGGCAAGCTCTCTGCTTATTTTTTTCAAAGGTTCTTCAGAACCTTCAGGATAAAGTCCAAACTCCTCTGAAAACACTTCACACTTTGGTACTTGCCCATAGTTTCCACCTCATCTCTTGCCACTCCCTTATAGGCACCCTGCACTGAAGCCTTATCAAAGCTTGGTACTTGCTATCCCTCCTTTCTTTGCCTTTGCTGTTCTCGGTGGATATCATCCCTCATCCCTTCCTGCTTAGAAGTCACCTTGTTCCAAAAGCCTCTCCTTATTTCTCCAGGCAATTAGGTACCCTCTTTATTTCCACAGTATCTTGTTCATATCCTGATTCAATATTTATTATTGGATAATTATATTTGTGTGTATACGATGTCTCACCCACTAAACTGTGAAGGGACTGTTCAGTTCACTATCGTATGCCCTAATGTAGAGCCTGGCACAGAGTATGTACTCAACAGATGTTTACTGAACGAATTTTTGAAATGAGTAAGTTTTATATTTTTCTGATTGCTTAAAGTACACAGTGTTTAATATATCTTAAGCAATACTACTGACCCATTCTCAGGATAGAATTGTCCTCTGAATTCCTTATAATGGTAACAGTTTATATTTGAACAGTAATTTTAACTTGTCAAAGTACTTTTCCCCAGCACTCATTACAAGTATTTCCAAACATATGGAAAAGAAAAATAATTGTAAGTGAACACGCATACACCCATTACCTAGATTCTAAGTCGACATTTTGTTATATTTGCAGAACACTTTTTATAGGCTGATTTTATTATCACTTTTTATTTCACGTAATGACTAAGGTATGATTCTATGTTTTATAGAGAAGGAAACTGAGGCCAAGAGAGCTTAATGACTTCCTAAGGAGATTACCTCCTGGAGTTGTGATCAATTTTTGCCAGCTGACTCATCCATACCTTCTTGGTGTTAGATACATAACCCTCGCCTGAAAAGTATTTTGAATGTTATTGCTAATGATAAGTTTCCAATTGCGTAAGACAGGAGAATCAGCAAAATCATGGGAAGACCAACAAGAAAACATTTCTAGCTCATAAGTCACTCAAGGAGGAACCCAGTCTTGGATATTCTTCCCCCTTACACCCCTTCATTCCTGGTTAGTCATTTCCGGCCCTATTGGAGAAGTGTCTTCCATCCATTCTTTTCCAGTACCTGATGCAGATCTAGAATATCTTTCATTTCAGCTGGTCTGCTCTCTCTGGCCTTTTCTTTTCTTTTTTAATGATTATTTATTTATTTTGAGAGTGAGAGAGAGAGTGCGAGCAGGGGAGGGGCAGAGAGAGGGAGAGAATCCCAAGCAGGCTCACACTGTCAGCACAGAGCCCCATGAGGGGCTCCATCCCACAAACCATGAGATCAGGACCTGAGCAGAAATCTAGAGTGGGATGCTCAACAGACTGAGCTATACAGGCACCCCCTGTCCTGCCTTTACATGTGCCAAGAATACATGACCTCCAGTTAAAACAAGACCCTGATCATATCTTTGCCTAGCTCACAAAACATCAACCACTCTCATTTCCTACCAAATTAAGTCTGCCATCTACACCATAACCTGTCTAAGCATCTGTCTTCTTACTCCTTAGCTTCCATCCTACATAACCAAGAGGAGTTGTATCCCCAAATACAACAGGGCTTTCTGCTTACTTCCTTCGTGTATAAATCACCACCACGCCCCTACCCAATTCAACATGTGTTAAATTCTAGACCTCCTAGTCATCGCCCAACTCAAATGCCAATTCTAATAAACCTTCTAGAACACCCAAGCCTGTTATAACCTCGATTGCCAAGCTTTTGGATCTTGTGGCACTGATTTTCATCTACCTCGTGGAGCTTTATAGTCTGATTTCTCTTGCCATCTTCTGTCCCCTTTGCCTGAGTGTAACACCCTTGAAGAAAGGGACATTGTCTTATCCATCACGGCCTTCGCATAGTCGGTGCTTTACATGCTCAATTTCGTTTAAAGAAACATACGCTTCCGAAGGGACAGGAGGCGGACGCCCTTTGGTGTATTCACACATACACTCACACACGCATACAGACGCTGTCTTCCACCTGGACACACACGTGTCCCCAGGGCCACAGACAGCCCTGAACGGTCTCTGGCCCCTCAGCCTTTGGGCGCTTCCATTCCAGCCAGCAGAAGGGGAGGCTCATCCCTTTAAAACACCCTAACAAATACTTATCACTTTAGATCTTCTACAGCCTCCGCCCTCCAAAGAGCTGAAGATCTTCTTCCTTTCAAAATAGTATGACTCCGAGTCAGGGAACGTCAGCCTGGTCGCGCCGGGGGACGGTCCCACGGATCCCCCCCTCCTGGCCCCACTTGGTCGCGCCCGCTTTGTCAGCGCGCTGCGCTCGCCGGTTACCCTCCAGCCCTCGCCGGCCGGCGGCAGACCGTGCGGCTGCTGCCTGAGCTGCCGTCGCTTGCGCGTCTCCCTCTAGGGCTTGTCTGCTCAGCACTGCCCTCCGGCCTGGGCTGGGCGACTCAGAAGGTCCCCGAGCGTCTGCTCGTTTCGCCCGCCTCGGCCTCGGCCTCGGCCAGGCTCCGCTCGTCCCGCGCGCGAGGGGCCTCGGCGGTTGTGGCGGCGGCGCCCGGCATGTATCAGAGCCCGCGGCGGCTCTGCTCCGCCCTGCTGCAGAGGGACGCGTCCGGCCTGCGCCGCCTGCCCACCCCCGGGCTGCGCCGCCACTCGCCTCCGCCGGCGGCCGCCCCCCGGCCCGCGTCCCCCCGGCTCCTGGCGGCGGCCTCAGCGGCCTCGGGCGCCGCGAGGTCGTGTTCCCGAACAGGTGAGTGCGCGGTACCGGGCGGAGAACGCCGCGGCTGCGGACGCGCGGCCGCCACCTGGGCGCGGCGCGGAATGAATGGGAAGCCCGGGGTGCGGGGTCTGGCCGGGAAGCCGGCCCTCGGCTCCCTGAACGGCCGTTTCTGTTCCCTTTTTCCGCTTTCCCCTTGCCCTGCCTATGCCGGGGCTCGCGGCTAGTAAGAACTGGCACACTGTTCAGGGTCCCGTTTGATCCTTGGATGCGGTGCCTTTAGGATCTCTCGCTCTTGGCTTAACGCTAAAATCTGCCCCTTCCAAGGCCGCAAATTAACTTGCGGCTGTTTTACTTCCTGTTGCTCTAATTTAGGAAATTTTGTGCAGAAAAGTCATCGAAAGTGGTACTCTTGATCACGTAGCTTGCATGGTTTAGATGTTATGAATTTCTTTAAAGTTATGCTGTCTGTATTATAACATAACACATTGACTGGTTTTACATTTACCTATTTGGGTTTTTTCAGAAGCTTCCACTCTTTCTATTTGGGTCAGTCTGTGTCCTGTATACTTGGGTTAAGATCTTGTAAAGGTGATGCCTTCCGTTTGTCAAGAGCCAATTTTATATATCACATACCCTGGACTTTGCCATTTTTGCCACCTCCGTTTCTACCTGAGGACACATTACCGAAACTAAAAATTACATACAAATTAATGATACTGTTTTAAATAAGAAATGAAGGTTCTCTTTCAAATCTTGGCAATTACTACATCACACTAAAAAGTGTATTTTGGCTGTGCTCAACTTAGATTATTGGCGTTTAAGACATTTGTAAACCATCCTGGGTTATAAATACGTTTTGCTCAGAAAGTTTTGGATTGCTTTGAGATGAACAAATAGAGCAGTAGAAAAAAATATGTTTAGTGGGACTTTCTCTTACTAATGAAAGTGATGATCTAAAATCTAAAAGCGATTGAAGCCAAGACTTTAAACTCTTTCAGGATTCCTGGGTGGCTTTGCAGGGTTGGCCTCCGACTTCTGCTCAGGTCATGATCTCATGGTTTGTGGGGTCGAGCCCTGTGTTGGGCTCTGTGCTGACAGCTCAGAGTCTGGAGCCTGCTTAGGATTCTGTGTTTCCCTCTCTTTGCCCCTCCCCCACTCACACTCTTTCAAAAATAAACATTAAAAAAAAGACTTTTAAAGACTTCTCAGATTATTAGCGGATGTAAAATTAGGAGGCTAAACTGATTAGACTCTAAATTCCATATTATTCTTTAGAAAAGGTGAATTTGACAGTCCTATTCAGATTATTTTGGTTTTTGTTTTTTATACTGCAGTGAACATGTTGATTGCATGAAATTCACAGGGCTTCTTCCCCCCCCCCCGCCCCCCCAGCTCTGTAGGAAATCATCACATTGTGAAATAGCTGTTAGGATGGGTGCCACCTAACAACTGTTAGTGTTTTTTCTTGCTGGAAAAATTTTTTAAATTTTTTAATGTTTATTTATTTTTGAGAGAGAGACACAGACAGTGTGAGCAAGGGAGGGGCAAAGAGAGTTCTGAAGTAGGCTCCAAGCTCTGAGCTGTCAGCACAGAGCTGGACATGGGGCTCGAACCCACAAACAGTGAGATCATGACCTGCCGAAGTCAGATGATTAACAGACTGAGCCACCCAGGTGCCCCATTGCTGGAAATTTTCAAGAGGAATGTTGTTTGGTTTGAGGAGGAAGAAGTAAAAGAGAAAAACACTCATTGTCTTCTCCAGTACCAGCTCAGGTCTCACAGTACCTCAGGCCGAGTTCGTCAGTAGCTACATCTTGGGAATACAGATAGCTTGTGTGATACAGATAGCTGTGGTGTTGGCTGAGGAAAAAAGGTCAGGTTTGAGTCAGGAACATTGGGCTTTTGACACAGAATGGTGTTTAGTGAGCTTTTTAAAAAAGTCTCTGAAACCCCCTAGTTTTACAAATAAAGAAACTGAAAGACTTTGATGCTTATGCTGTCATAGACTGTTACTACAAAATCTAGGCCATTTTCCTTTTTCATGCGGTTTTAGCTTCGGCTACTTGTTAGAAGAAACGTTCTTTCACTCATTGCTTGATCACTCATTCATTCAGGAAGTCTTTGCAGAATTTGTCACACACACTGTAGGTGCTTTATTATAGGGGGTAAAAGAATGGGAGCCTTAGTCTGCCTTTATAGAGATTACTACTGCCTAATAAGAGAGAAGAGCTTGCAAAAAGAAATAACTGTTGAATGAAATGAAACTCCTTTTATTCTCTTACAGTTAGAGGTTTGCTCATGGCACAAGGGTGCCAGAGATTGGGAGGTCCCTTTCAGCAAAGGTGATCTTGTTAGCCTTCAGGAAGTAATTGGTATTTGAGCAGGGCCTTAAAGCATGGTCAGGACTGAAAGAAATGAAAACATTTTATTTGGGAAAAGGCAGGAGCAAAAAGGGAAAAGCATGAAGCATGCAGGGTGAGAAAAGAGACCCCCTGTAAAATGTTTTCCAAAGAGCCCAGAACCAGCATTAGGTGCTTTTAAAAATGCAGACTAATGGATCCTACTAGAGACCTATTAATAGAATTGGTGGTGGGCTCCAGATTCCACATTCTTCTGGATTATTCTTCTATTCCTCAAAGTTCAGACATCTGGCAAGAGAAGTCTTCAGGTAGCTGAAAGCTACTCTTCCCTCCAGAGAGTCTGTTGTAGGAGGTTGGGGGTAGATAATGAGTCCCAACCCGTAATTCCTTTTGATAATCAATTTCCTTCCTAACTTATGTCCCTTAGCAATCCATCAGAGGTCACTAGTAAGATGAGTACAGTCATCAAATCCTAGGTTATTAGAATTTAAAGGGGAACTTGCAGACAGTCTCTGTGTTTTGCTGTCTTTTCTCACACAAGGACAGCACCCCCATAAAGCAGCAGCAATTGCCACAGTTACTGTCCTGGATGAAATGCAGTCGGGAGTCATCTGTGGGTTTTTAAGTGCTGCCTTCCAGATCCCTCCTCCTCAGATAATTAAGAGTTGGCTGAATTACTGTTCACCACCACTGGAACATGTTGCTTTTTTTCTTGGGACAATTTTAAAAGCAAATACCAGCTCGTTTCAGGAGGCGGCTTTATTTAGTATGTCCCTTAACTCTGTGAGTAAGCTGTTGATGAGAGAGAAGAAATGAGAAAGCTTGTAATTATCAAGTTCCTACAGAATAAATTACTTTCCTTGTGGGAGAACTAAGGTATCATTTTCCTGCAGCATTCAATGCTAATAGTTTAAATAGTGAACTGTTGGGGGTGTTTGAGTTAATAACCATAGCTCCAGAATCATATTCAATACATTTATGTATTTGCAGATCATTTAATCTTGCTTACTGTCTGAACACTGAAATTGACCTAGAAAAAATAAAGAAGATAATTGATATCATTCACTCCACAAGTTTTATTGAATACAGTACACTTAAAAGGCCAAATATTGTATCCCATGACTAATTGTGGCAGGAATTGAGAAGAAAGAGAAATCAGTGTGACTGGATTTGTTGGGAAGAAAAGTGCTTTGGAATAGGTGAAAGGAGGGTACATCCCTGGAAGGGAGGGGTGGATGACAGGCAGGGAGAAAAGACCACATGAGATGGTGGCAGGTATGGGAGCGGTGATGAATGAATGCCATCAGAAAAAAATGTACTTCCAGAATCTGGGACAATTGTTAAAATACAGATTTCTTGTCTTTCACCTATGTACTTGAATCAGTTCCTCCCGGGAGAAGCCCAGTATATATATATATATATATGTATGTATGTGTGTGTGTGTATTTTTTATTCATTTTGAGAGAGAGAGAGAGAGAGAGAGAGAATGAGAATCCCAAGCAGGGCCCACACTATCTGCACAGAGCCTGATGCAGGGCACAAACCCATGAACTCCCAGATCATGACCTGAGCCAGAATCAAGAGTCAGACACTTGGAGGCTTACCTGCCTGAGCCACCCAGGCAACCCAAATTGTATATGAAACAGGTGCTCCAGGTGATTCTTTCTGGAAAAACACAGGGACTATTTTATAAGCTCTACTCCTCCTTTCCAAAGGTATTTATTTCTGGAAAGTTTGAGAAACCTGGGAGAGGATTCTGGAGGAGCGTTAATTAAGATCTTTGAACTTGGGCTCCAAGGCAATTTCAGAGGCCTCTGAGTAAGAACATTTACCTGAACAAAAACAGGGTTTAGGAAAGGGAAGGAATTGGTGTATTTAAGAAAATTCAGTGAGGAAAAACTTGACTCTGACATTGTAATGCGAGTATAGCAGTGTGGATAAATGTGGTGTCATGTTGATTTTGATGATGTTTACTAATGGAAAAGTGAGGCAATTATTTTCTGATTTCTTGGAAGGAGGAAGAAGGAAGTATCTATATTTGCTTAAATTCTTTTTTTTTAATTTTTTTTAAGGTTTACTTATTTTTGAGAGAGAGAGACAGACAGAGCGTGATTGTGGGAGGGGCAGAGAGAGAGGGAGACACAGAATCTAAAGCAGGCTCCAGGCTTTTAGCTGTGCCCAGCGTGGGGCTCGAACTCATGAACTGTAAGATCATGACCTGAGACAAAGTTGGCTGCTTAACCAGTTGAGCCACCTGAGTGCCCCTATATTTGCTTAAATTCTAATCAGGATTTATATACTTGAAAATGGTTATTATACTCGAATAAATACTGAGAAACTCAAGGATGATGTGCATGGGTATTTGGCTCTGTGCTAAACTTACTTGTACTTTCACGAAAAGCAGCTAAAATGTTTTGAATTTCTTGTTAGAAATAGGTGAAAACCAACCTTCCCACAGGATGGAATAAGACTCAAGTGGATGATTTCAGCTGTCCTCTTATCTCTAGCTGGTGTCAAAGCAACACTTAACATACCGGTTACCGTGAATTCAGTGTCAGGGATGTGGGCAGGAGTGCTTAGGGCAAAGGGGGATAAAGAAAATTACTACTGTCATTTGAATGTCTCCCCAGAATACTTTTTTCTCCTTCCAGTATCAAAAAAATGCCTGGTGGGGGGGAGAGGGGGGACCACCTGGGTGGCTCAGTCACATTCAGCTCAGGTCATGATTTCAAGGTTCTCGGGATGGAGCCTCGCATCTGGCTTCGTGCTAACAGTGCGAAGCCTGCTTGGGACTCTCTGTCTCTACCTCTCTCTCTCTGCCCTTCCCCCACTTGTGCTTTCTCTCAAAATAAATAAATTGTTTTTTAAATGCTTGGGCCCACTCAGATCTTCTGAATTTTAACTCGTGGGGCCTGAGCATCCGATGATTCTGAGGTATGGCCAGGACGGACAGCCTCTTACCACACAGGTAGCCGGACAGCTCGTGAGGAGATTTGTTTTACTAAATGCGTAGCAGCAGCCTGCCAGAAATTTTCTTACCAGTGTGTTGATTCTCATGCCTCCAAAAGTTAGATCCTGCTATCAGATTATGAGGGATTGTGCCGAGAGGAAAAATTTTAAACCATTTTTACTCCAGCTTTAGAATCCGAGTAGTGTGAGAAGTCTAGGAAAGTCCAAGTTACAACGCAGACAGAAGTACAGGAAAGAATTGTTGCAGCAGGATGTCCGGAGCGCCCCTCACTCTTGCCCCGCCTGTTCCCACTGTCTTCCGGGCCCCAGCTCTTTGAGCTTCCAGTCCTTGAGCAGACTAAAGTGCTTTGCAGATTCTAAAGATACCTTGAATATAATAGTTTTGTATTTCCTTTTTATGTTTTGCTGTCATGGATATGAATCATCATCTAGGGACTACTGAAAGAAGGTGATCTTTCAAATCTTTATAGGTCACATAGGGGAACTGAGACATATTCTGGAATTTGTTTCTCTTTCAGGTACTTCATTCTGAATTTTATTTAGGAAAACGGTCATGATGACTTTTTAAATTAAATTTTTAGAAAATTACTGGAATAACGCATGGCCACTAATAAAAATCTTTTGTCCTCAAAACATTTTTCTTACGCTTTGTGTTCCAACCAAAATTCCATCAGGAAAATGTCTCAGCCACACTGAGATACCACCTCATGCCAGTCAGAGTGGCTAAAATGAGCAAATCAGAGAACTCTAGATGCTGGTGAGGATGTGGAGAAACGGGCACCCTCCTACACTGTTGGTGGGAATGGAAACTGGTGCAGCCCCTCTGGAAAACAGAGTGGAGGTTCCTCAAAAAATTAACAATAGAACTCCCCTAGGACCCAGCAATAGCACTGCTAGGAATTTACCCAAGGGATACAGAAATGCTGA